TTTTAGAGCTTATACATAGTGATGTTTATGACTTAAATAGATTACCAACTAGAGCCAGTAATAAGTATTTTGTCACATTTATAGATGATTGTTTGAAGTATTGTCATATTTATTTGATAAAGACCAAGGATGAAGTATTTGGTAAATTCAAGATCAATTAGAGAAAAGGATAAGGAGACTTAGGTCTGATAGAGGTGGTGAGTACACTCTTACCGATCCTAGTGTTTTTTGTGAAGAGCAGGTATTATACGTGAAGTAACTGCACCTTATTCTCCACAATCAAATGGAGTTACAGAAATGAAGAATAGGACCTTATTGGACATGGTGAACGCAATGCTTTCGAGTTTTGGATTACCTGAAAATTTGCGGGGGGAAGGAATTTTGACTGCATCTTTTATATTAAATAGAGCAATCACCAAAGACAACACTACTACTCCATATGAAATTTGGAAAAAGTGAACACCAAATCTTCAAGTCTTGAAGGTGTGGGGGTGTTTGGCTAAAGTTGCAATCCCAGAACCTAAGAGAAAGAAGATAAGATCTAAAACTGTGGATACTGTTTTCTTAGGTTATGCTTATAATAGTAGTGCCGATAGATTTCTAGTCAACTCTGAAATAAATGAAATTTTGAATAGCACTGTATTAGAGTCTAGGGATGCAACTTATTTTGAAGACATATTTCCTTTCAAGACTAGAATGCAAAAGCAAGTGGTAGATAAATCATGCACTAGAACTCATAAAGCTTCCACAAGTATTAGCCATCAAGTTACAAATGAAGAAGAGCCTCTAGTAGAACTTAGAAGGAGTAAGTGAACTAGAGTGGAGAAGAACTTTGGTGATGATTTTTGTACTTTTTTAATTGAAGGTGATCCAACAACATATAAGGAAACCATGATCTCCGTTGATGCTCCATTTTGGAAAGAAGCTATAAATAGTGAAGTTGAGTCTATTTTACAAAACAACACTTAGGAGTTAACGGATTTACCACCAGGTACTACACCAATGGGTTGTAAGTGGGTATTTAGGAAGAAACTGAAGCCTGATGGAGGTATAGACAAGTACAAAGCTAGGCTAGTAGCCAAGAGATTCACTCAAAAGAAGGGAATTGATTATTTTGACACTTACTCTCATGTGTCTAGGGTTACCACAATTAGGATCCTTATAGCATTAGCTTCTATACACAATTTAGTAGTTCATCAAATGGATGCTAAAACAACATTTTTGAATGGAGACTTAGATGAAGAAATTTACATGGAGCAAGCCGAAGGTTTTATAGTGAAAGGCCAAGAACATAAAGTGTGTAAGTTGGTTAAATCGTTATATGGACTCAAGCAAACTCCTAAGCAGTGGCATTAGAAGTTTGATAAAGTCATTTTAGAATATGATTTTGAAATTAATGAGCATGAAAAGTGTGTCTACTATACGGAATGCAATGGACACTGTGTTATTTTATGTCTTTACGTTGATGATATATTATTATTTGGAACAAGTCTGGAAATTGTGAAAGATGTTAAGTCTTATATATCAAAGAGATTTGATATGAAAGATCTAGGAGACACCAATATTATTTTGGGAATGAAAGTAGAAAGAACACAAGCAAGTTTTATTATAAATCAAGCTAGTTCAATTGAGAAAATGCTCAAGAAGTTCAATTTTTTCAATTGCAATTCTGTCTCGACACCATATAAACCAAGTGTATGGTTACTTAAAAATAGAGGTGTATTCTCAGATGATTGGGTCTTTGATATATATATATAGCAAATAAAGCTAGACCTAATATAGCTTATGCGGTTGGAAGGCTAAGTAGATACACTCATAATCCAAGTAAAGAACACTGGAATGCTTTAAAGCAAGTGTTTAAGTATCTAAGAGGAACTATGGATTATTCTATAAACTATAAAGGATTTCCTTATGTAGTATAAGGGTACAGTGATGCAAATTGGATCACTGATAGCTCCGAAGTGAAATCTACTTCAAGATATGTATTTTTATTAGGATAACTGATAGCCCGTTTAATACGTATCATTAATTATTTTCTTCTCATATCGAGTCATAAAAATGAAATAGAAGATACAACTGCAAATAAAAGAAAATAGAACATATTTAAGTCGCATGTAAAATGTGGGGTAAATTACACAAAATGACCTCAACTATAGGTCAAACGACACTTTCATACCTCATCTTTTAAAATTGACAATGTCATACCTCATGTTACTAATTTGTGCCAATGTCAGACCTTCGTTAGTTTTCCTATTAATTTCTCTGTTAAATGCTGATGTGACCAGAGACATGACCCACTCACTAATCCAACTGGATTAAAAAATAATTAAATATTAAAAAATTAAAAATAAAATTATTTTTTTATGTAAAATTGTGGGATCCACCCTATCTCTCTCGACTATCTCTCTTCTCTCTTTTCTCTGGACACTTGCATCCCCATAACCCTTCATACCCGTTCCCCCTCTCAACCTTCCTCCCCCTTACCCTTTCTTCCCCCAGCTCCCGTCTTCTTTGCGAAACCTCTCCCTCCAAACGTTGCCATTTATCCTCTCCATCCAGAAACTCTCCCTTCTAGACCCCCTCGACCTCTCCGTCTCCCACCTCTGCTTTGCCACTCTCCCGCCCCGCCGCCCTTCCCTCTTAATCACCTGCCTCGCCATCAACCACAACCTCCTCTACGCCGCATCGGGCCACAAGAAATGCCTCTAGATCCAACATGTCGACGCTGTCATTGGCATCGCCGTCAACAATGCCCTGATTTACTCAGTCTCTTGGGACAAGAACCTGCAGATTTGGCGGGACTCAAATCTCAGCTGCGTTAAGTCGGTCAAGGTGCACGAAGACGTTGTGAACACATTGGCGGTGTCGAACGACGGGACGGTGTACACCAGGTTGACGGATTGTCAGATTTGGGTGTAGTCCAAACCGTTTGGGGAAGACGGAGATATGAGCGGGGTGGGATCTAGGTTAGGTGGTTCTGGTTTTGAGTTTGGGGAAGACGGGGAATGAGGGGAAGAAAGGGTGAGGGGGAGGAAGGTTGGGGATGGGGGACAGGTAGGAAGGGTTTTGGGGATGCAGGTGTACAGAGAGAGAAGAGCTAAAGGCGAGGGAGAGAGAGAGGGTGGATCCCATAATTTTATATAAAAAAAATAATGTTATTTTAATTTTTTAATATTTAATTATTAAAAATATATTTAATTATTTTTTAATCCAGTTGGATTAGTGAGTAGGTCTTTTCTCTGGCCACTTCAGCATTTAACAGAGAAATTAATAGAAAAACTAACGAAGGTCTGACATTGGCACAAATTTGTAAGATGAGGTATGACATTGTCAAATTTAAAAGATGAAGTATGAAAGTGTCGTGACACCAATAGTTGAGGTAGTTTTTTGTCATTTACCCTAAAATGTGTAAAAATAAATAAATAAAGGATTTTGCATGCGCGAAAGCACATTTGAAGAATTTATTAAAGAATACAACAAAGAATCAAATAATAGAGTAAAAAACATTAAACAATTACTCCATGACCATAAGGTGAAGAGTAGAATCTATACATATCATCTCATCATTACAATACCACAAATTGCAACCCACTTCTACCACATTACTGCTCCACTACAGAGTGAATATGTGATTTTTATGTATTTCTAAATCACATTATTATATATATTATGTTGCATTTTAAACATTTGTTCATAATGTTATAATCGGTACTAACAATAAAATAAAAATATTAGAGATGAACCTCAATTATCCTAAAACCTTTAATTATACAAAAGCAACGATATAATTAGATTACCAATTATTAGGCATTTAAAAGGAAGATACATAAAAATGAATCACTACAAACACCAACGGAACGGGAAAGAGAACTGAAAATTTCTTGAATCTTCAACAGAAAAGGCATAAGTGATACCACCCTGAAACTTACTATATATATGTGACCATGGATGTTACTTTTTCTAAATCTGAGTATTTTTATGCTTCGATTCCATGGCCTTCCGATCACCAGGGGGAGAATACTAATGGTGATCTTGAGTGGTTCGAAATATGTAGCTCAGAAGGAGCATGTGTTGAAAAAGAACCTTGTGAAAGCTCTCAGCAAGACATTGCCGAGAATTTAAGTATCATTCAGCCGCCGAGCGCCGAACTAACTAAGTCTTCTCATCAACAGTTTGCAGAGTGTGATGCAGAGTGTCGGAATGAAGCTGCCAAACTAGTTACGCTACCCCAACAACCATTAACTATCGAACCCACACCCTCTCTATCTCGAGCTCGATAATGCCACCCAATGTGTCGTCTCTGAATATTCTTGAGGTAACTACTACTGATGCTCATGTAACTAATCAAGATAATATTGTGAGTACATATAAGTTGCCCCCAAGGCAAATGGTGTTCCTCCTAACAGGTTTTCTCCTGAAGGAAAAGTGAAGTATCCAATAGCAAATTATGTGTCATGCTCGAACCTTGCACCAGAACATCAAGCCTAGGTAAATAATGTGGAAGCAATCCAAGTGCCAATTCGGGTAAAGGACACTTTGAAGAGTCGAGAATGGGCGGAAGCAATGGATGAAGAGATGAAGGCACTACAAATAATACATGGGAAGTAGTGGAGTTGCCGAAGGGGAAAAAGCCAGTTGGATGCGGATGGATTTTCATAGTTAAATACAAAGCTGATAGGTCACTCGACATGCATAAGGCGCAGTTGGTAGTAAAAGGATATACTCAAACGTATGATGTTGATTACTAGGAAACTTTTTCTCTGATAGCTAAGATGAATACAGTACGAGTTCTTATCTTATTAGTTGCAAATTTGAATTGGCTATTGAAACATTTTGATATCAAAAATGCGTTTCTTCATGGACATTTGGAGGAGGAAGTATATATGGACTTTCCTCTTGGATATGATAATGGAGGAAAAACAGGAGTGTGCCGATTGCGGAAGTCCCTTTATGGGCTTAAGTAGTCACCTCGTGCATGGTTCAGAAGATTCACTTAGACCATGAGGAAAAATGGGTATTATCAGAGTCATTCTGATCACACTCTATTTGTGAAGCAGAGGAACGATAAAGTAACAACCTTAATTATTTATGTGGATGATATAATAATAACAGGGGATGATTCAGAAGAGATTGTACAATTGGAGAAGAACCTTGCGGCTGAGTTCGAGATGAAGAGTTTGGGTGACTTAAAGTATTTTCTAGGAGTTGAGGTGGCTTATTCGTCCCAAGGTATTTTCTTATCTCAAAGGAAGTATGTTCTTGATTTGTTAAAGGAAATAGGTATACTTGGATGTAAACCTGTGGATACACCTATTGTGGAGAAACATCACTTAGGGATTTATCCAGATCAAGAACAAGTGGATAAAGACAAATATCAGAGGTTGGTAGGAAGACTAATTTATTTAGCTCATACCCGTCCAAATGTAGCCTATGCAATGCGTGTTGTGAGTCAATTTCTGCACTCACCAAGTGTGGATCATATGACTGCTATTATGCATATCTTGGTGTATTTAAAGTCGACCCAGGGAAAGGAATCTTGTGTAGAACTTCGGGTCATCTAGAAATTGAGGGGTTCACTAATGCTGATTGGGCAGGTGATGTGACTGATAAGCGTTCTACTTCTGGATATTTCACGTTCGTTGGTGGAAATTTGGTCACTTGGAGAAGCAAGAAATAGAATGTGGTGTCTAGGTCTTTTGCGGAGGCCAAATTTAGAGGTATGGCGCATGAAGTGTGTGAAGTTCTCTGGTTACGTAAGTTGCTTTGGGGTCTTGGTTTCAAACCAAAGGGGGTGACAAAGTTGTATTGTGATAATAAGTCGACACGAGAAATTGCAGAGAATCCGCTGCAATATGACAGAATGAAGCATGTGGAAGTGGATCAACATTTCATTAAGGAAAAGTTCGAGAAGAAGATTGTGTCAATACCGTTTGTGAATTCAGAAGAGCAGCTTGCAAATATCCTCGCTCATGCCGTGTGTAGTAGAGTTTTTGATGACTCACTTGTCAAGTTGGGTATGTGTGACATTTATGCTCCAACTTGAGGGGGGGGGGGGGAGTGTTGTGTGAGTTAGTTTTCAAGTAGGAATGTAAATATTGTGTAAATATTAGAGTCCTTTATTAGGAAGGATATTTCTTAAGTCCTTTTTTAAGCTTACCTTGGAGAACAAGGATTGCATGTCATAGCATTTATCGATTGTCATTTCAATGTAGATGTTAATTGGACTGAATAATATGTAACCCATCGGATGAGAAATTAAACAGGAGAAGAACAATCAAAAGTTTCTTAACTGATTGAGAGAACGAAGAAATCTTGAGAAATAACTAGCTACGTTGGTTAAAGTTTTTCAAGTGTAAATAAAATTAATTTGAAGTCGTTCGTTTCGGTTTAGGTCGGTTCTAAATTAACAACCTCTATGCAATTTGAAAGCAGAAACCCACACCAAATCGGATAAATCGGGCCCGTTTGACATCGAATCGGGCGAGCTGCTACAGCGAGTAAGGGGCCGTCGAGTCGGTAGAGTAAAGAGTCTCTCACTCTTAAACCCTAAACCCTAAACCCTAAACCCTAAACGTTAAACCCTAAACCCTAAACCCTAAACCCTGAACCGTTCGGAAATAGCTGTTTATAATCTGTTTGATTATACAATTTTACCTTTCTTCTTTCCTTCCCAGAGCCGCCGCCGCCGCCGCTTCTCTCAGTCTCTCACTCTGTTGTAAAGTAAGTCCTCTATCTCTATCCGTCGAAGCTCTACTACCGCAGCGTCCTTTGCTAGTAGTTTCTAGTGTTGGGATTTCGTTTTTATATTCTGTGTTTTCAATTTGTTTGCAGCTTTTTGTAGGCGGGTTTGTTAATGGATCGAATTAAACAATCATTTTTTGTTCAAATTTCTTGTTGTTCAATCGAATCATACCATTTTTTATAGAACAGATGCTTGATTAATTCAGGGATTAGGAGGGTGTGTTATTTGTTATTAAAAAAAATCTCTATTTTCGTTGGCAAACATTGTTTGGTCCATTTATACGATTCTTATCGGTAGTTTTGATTATATTTTTTTGGGCATGTTTTATTCATTAGTTGTTAAATTTGTGAGAGGTGAAAGAAGTAAAATGCTTTTAGTTAATGGGGATGAGTCGGGATAGGGTGGAAACCATTTATGAGTTATGGCAGGGTGGGGAGGAAGGGCCAGTTACAAGGATGAACGTGATTATTTTCTGAATTTCTCTCATATTTACCTTCGTCTTAGATTACGAAGAAGTAATTAACAATTGACTTTGCATTATTGCATGCTTGTTTCATATTGAAATAGTTTTTAATATTCAGCTTAGGTTTGTAGGGTTCTGACATGAATTTCCCTTTCATCATGAAACTTACGATTTTGGTGATGAAGTTAGTGATAAATTATTTTCAATTTTTCATCAGAATAGTTTCACTACATTTATTTAGCATTTGTCTGGTGTCTGATGTTATGGTGTTGGCGGGGTGGTTATAAATTTTTGGGTTGAGCAGTGAACTTTTGTTACTTTTATTAATATTATTAATAAAAACTACTGCGAATCTAAGTTAGACATTTTAAATCAATGACGTGCTGTGAAAATCAGTTTCGAATTCAAATTGAATTGGATACTTCATGTTTTCTACTTTTAGTGTATGGCAGTCGACCTTGGTGTTAACTTGACTTTATTCTTTTCTGCAAACAGACCAATTGGTAAACATGGTGCAGTATAACTTTAAGAAGATGACTGTTGTCCCAAATGGGAAGGACTTCATTGACATAATCCTATCTCGCACCCAGCGACAGACCCCAACTGTAGTCCACAAGGGTTATGCAATTTCCCGTCTTCGTCAGTTCTATATGCGCAAGGTGAAATATACCCAACAGAATTTTCATGAGAAGCTCTCCACAATTATTGATGAGTTTCCTAGGCTTGATGATATCCACCCCTTCTATGGCGACCTTCTTCATGTTCTCTACAACAAGGATCACTTCAAGCTTGCACTGGGCCAAATCAATTCTGCAAGGACCCTTATTGGAAAGATTTCTAAAGACTACGTGAAATTGTTGAAGTATGGTAATTCACTTTACCGATGCAAATGTCTCAAGGTTGCTGCTCTTGGCCGCATGTGCACGGTGATAAAGAGGATCGGTCCTAGTTTAGCTTATCTAGAACAAATTAGGCAACACATGGCAAGGCTACCTTCAATTGACCCTAATACCAGGACAGTATTGATTTGTGGCTATCCGAATGTTGGAAAGAGTTCATTCATTAACAAGATTACTAGGGCTGATGTGGATGTCCAGCCCTATGCTTTCACCACCAAATCCCTCTTTGTGGGACATACAGATTATAAATACCTGAGTTACCAGGTAATTGATACGCCGGGGATTTTGGACCGACCTTTTGAAGACCGTAATATAATTGAGATGTGCAGCATCACAGCTCTGGCCCACTTGAGAGCTGCGGTGTTGTTCTTCTTGGACATCTCGGGGTCTTGTGGGTACAACATTGCCCAACAGGCATCTCTTTTTCACAGCATTAAGTCTCTATTTATGAACAAACCACTGATTATAGTCTGCAACAAGACTGACTTGCAGCCACTGGAGGGCATATCCGAGGAGGACAAGAAGTTGGTCGCAGAGATGAAAAATGAAGCAATGAAGACAGTGATTGGTCAAGGAGGTGAGGCTACAAACGATGAGGGGGTACTCTTGACCATGAGCACTTTGACCGAGGAAGGGGTGATTTCTGTGAAGAACGCAGCTTGTGAGAGGTTGTTGAATCAGAGAGTAGAATTGAAGATGAAATCAAAAAAAATAAATGAATGCTTAAATCGTTTTCATGTTGCATTGCCAAAGCCGCGGGACAGCAAGGAAAGGCCCCCGTGTATACCTCAGGCAGTTCTAGAGGCTAAGTCTAAGCAAGCAGCGGAGAAGGAAAAGAGGAGTACAGAAAGGGATTTGGAGAATGAGAATGGTGGTGCTGGTGTGTACTCTTCCAGTTTGAAGAAGCACTATATCTTAGCTAATGACGAATGGAAGGAGGATGTCATGCCAGAAATTCTTGATGGGTACAATGTATGTGACTTTGTTGATCCTGATATATTTCACAGGCTTAAGGAGTTGGAACGAGAAGAAGGACTCCGGCACGAAGAGCAGGGTGATGATGATTCTGAGATGGATGCATTGAAACTGACTCCAGAAGAGCAAGGGATGTTGTCGGAGATAAGGAAAAAGAGAAGCAAGTTCATTCAACAACATAGAATCAAGAAAAGTACAGCAGAGAGTCGACCAATTGTACCAAGGAAATTCGATAAGGACAGGGAGTTCACAACAAAGAGAATGGGGAGGCAGCTTACAAAGTTGGGGATTGATCCTACTATGGCAATTAATCGAGCCCGAAGCAGATCTGTCTCCAGGGGTCGGAAGAGGGAGCGATCAGTTGATGGTGGCGATGCTATGGACATGGATGTTGATGCACCCAACAAGAAGCAGCGCATGTTATCTAGATCCCACTCCCGCTCTAGATCAAGGCCTCCAATTGAAGTTGTCCCTGGAGAGGGCTTCAAGGACTCTTCCCAAAAGGCCAAGGCAATAAAGAAGGCCAGGAAATCTAATATGATGCGAAACAAGAACGCTCGCCGTGGAGAGGCTGATAGGGTCATTCCCACTTTAAAACCAAAGCACTTGTTTTCTGGAAAACGATCAATTGGAAAAACTCAAAGGCGCTGAGTGTTTTTGAGGTACTTAAAACAAATTGGATCACTTTCTGTTCAGCTTGTTTTTTATTTAAGCATGCTCTGGAAAAAAGTTATATATTCCTTGTTCCGGGCCATAGCTGTAGGCATGCATATATTTTGTGCATATTAGGATTCATAGAGCCGATCCCACTTAGTGGGAAAAGGCTTTGTAGTTGTTGTTGTACATTTTTTGGGGGACACGTTGCATTCTCTAACTTTATGTCTATTGCATACATGTTCTTGTAGGTATTCAAGACTGAATTCATGCGCTCAATCTTCTTGATGCATAAGCTAGAAATCAACATGTCTTTTGTTCTTGCAGGGTGGTAGGTTCGTGCTTTTGGAGTATTATGTATTCCCTTGCTGCTGAAATGGGAACTTAGTTCCTTTGTTTCTGTTCTGGCCCGGCAGGAGCTTGCAGCATGCAAGATGAAGCAACCAGAGTCTTGGTTGTTTTATTACTTTTTAGTTGTGTTTTTGTTTAGGAAATTTTGGATCCAAGACATTCCCGAACTACAATGTTTTGTGTGGATTTGAGTTTACAATTAATTGGTTACTTTGTTCCTTTTGCTTGTAATTTGACAACGTGTGAACCTGGCCCAAATGAAATTGCAGTTTGTTTGTGTTTATAACTTTATACACATTCAAGTTAAATTTTCGATACTCGCTGAAGAAAAAGTTTACTTACGGATTTTCTCGAAGGTATTGTAGAGTCCTTAGTCTGTCCGTCCCTTTGCACTCGAGTTCAAGAAGGGGAATACGCTAGTTTAGAATATTGTCTTGTCAAAACAAAAAGCCAAAATCTAATGATAAAGGCCAATGATGGAGTAGAAAAGTTTGTGCAAGTGTTTCAGAGAGAAGTGGTTTTGTTGCCCGCATTTGTGGTTCTTCCATATTCATTCTCTTGCCAAAGCATATAGCCTGAGTTTGGAAGGAGAA